AACTTTGAGTTTTGCCAAAATTTCCTTCCTGGGAGGGCATGGGGCATTCTGGCATAACTAAAAATGAGCGAGTGAGAGTTAAGCTGCCACACTGGAAGAACACAGGCAGAATACCCTGGACCTGACTGGGATACCCAAGACTCCCATAACTGTAATATGAGACTTTATGGTAGGTCCCTTCCAGGAGGTGAGGCGAAAGAAGCTCCTGTGTCCAGGACGAAGGAGACTTTGTGTCCAGCCACCATCCCTGTCACCCAGAGTTCAGTGGACAAGTCAGGAGTTCCAACTGAGAATTATGACTCTAAGCTCCTTCACTGTAACACCTGTAGCAGTGGGAGATTGGGAAATTGGGGCCCATGGGGGGGGGTGGTCAGGGCATCCCTGAGGGCAATTCATCTTCCAATATCCCTATTGTCTATAGGCGGGACACGCCCATGTTGGGGGTCCAGGATTGGGGTACAATCTGATCCAATGTCCCATTTGGTTACATTTGAAGCAAGGCCCGGGGGGCTTAGTCCCTGAACATTAACTTTTCTATTGGGTGAGGGACTAGGCTGCGGTCAATTGTGGAGGACCAAAGTCAAAAGCTGGTGTTTGGTCTTACTGTCTCTTTCCTTCTCTGTCTGCCTCCTCCTCCCTATTGTTAAAAACCCTGAAGTCTCATCTTGAAGGTCCCTCTTTTTCTAACTTGTGGAGCCAGTGCCTAATATCTGGGGCTGATTGACTAATAAATTGAACATGAAGAAAGTAGGTACTGGCTGGCATGGAGATGTCTGAATTAATATACTTAGTGACAGCCTTCATAAGCCTGGCCAGGAACAGGACAGGGTTTTCCTCAGGGCCCTAGGTAATTTCTCTAACCTTATAATTAAGATACATATGAGCACTCTTTTCTATGCCCTCTAAAAGGCAGGTAGAGTCATCTGACTGAGTTGTTGAACCCTCTGAGCCCAAGTGAGATGTCTTCCCAAGTGAGATGATAACCCTGAGTGAGACGGAGGAATTCATTTCTATGCTTTATAAAAGGAACCTAATTTACTTTCAATTTGACTCATATCTGAGAAAGAAAAGGGAACATGAACCTGGTGGGACCCTCAGGGCCTGCTGTCTCCCATGAGGGGAACATATGGGCCTGGGAGAGGGGTTGTCTGTGGGCATGTGACGCAGTAAGAGGAGATGATGGAGGAGGGTTTGGTGGGGGAGATGGTACCGGGAAGGGTAAGGTGGTGGAAGAGAAATATTTGGGGAAGGGGCAAGGTTAGGGAGGGAAGAGGGAGGTCAGGGGAGTGGGGTGGTAAAGGGTGGAGGCTAAGAGTGCTTGTGGGGGAAATAGCAGGTGGGGGTGGGGGTAGTAGTTGTTAGAGTGGAGGAAGGAGCCTGAGGGGAGGGGCTAATGTATAGTTTCCTCAGGAGGGGCAAGGGGGAGGTTCCTTGACTGGATCAAACTCAGAACAGGTGGAAGGAGGGATAGTGGCTGGTGGCTGGAAGGAAGGGGGAAGGGGGTCTGCAGAAGAACCTGGTAAGGAGAACAGTTTGGGCAGAAAGAGGAACAATCTCATAGTTTTTTTTTTTTTTTTTTTTTAAAAAGGCTTGGGCCGGGCATGGTGGCACACACCTTTAATCCCAGCACTCGGGAGGCAGAGGCAGGTGGATCTCTGTGAGTTCAAGGCCAGCCTGGTCTACATTGTGAGTTCCAGGACAGCTGGAAAAGGCTTGGCTGTAGGGCGGGATTGAAAGTTCTGAATTCAGGCCAAACGTGATTATTGTCCAATTTATACGGGGTCCAGACCTCAGTCAATAAATAAAGTGGCAAGCTTGAGGTCAGTTGAGCCTAATGCTTTAAGGTTGTTTTTAAGGCAACCACAGGGTGTGTCCTTAGGAACAGAAACCTTGGACCCCAGTTTAGGCAAGATAAGAGTGGGACTCTGTCTCAGACACCAAGCTGTCACCTACTGCCAAGAGGAGACTGAGGAGTGAGTGCCGAGGGACTGAAACGGGGCCTGGGAGGCAAAGACAAAGAACCCCTGGGGCTTGAGAAGGTGTCAGTCTGCTGCCAAGAGGAGACTGAGGAGTGAGTGCCGAGGGACTGAAACGGGCGTCCCTAATTCCAGTGGCCTGGGAGGCAAAGACAAAGAACCCCTGGGGCTTGAGAAGGTGTCAGTCTAGGGCACCTCTAGACTTAACCAGATTCTTACCTTGGAGAGTGGATGTTGGATGCACTCATGTGTAAGGAGCCTCTGCTTTGGAGGTTGGAGGGGACAGAAGAGTGAGGGGAAGTTTGAAAGACTTGGAACTGAGTTTACCCGAGATACCAATAAAATCCCAGAATGAGACTTGCTCCACTCACCAAGGCAGATACTGGGGGGGGGGGGGGGCGGACCACCCAAAGGGGGGGG